GAGTCCTTGGCCTCGACGAGACGCTTGTTGCAACAACAGAAGAATTATTCATATACAGGTCGCGAATGATCGGATTTAAATCTGCGTGTACGTAATGGGCGTGATTATTGTCCAAGTCATTATGAGATTATTTTTGAATCTAATACGTAAGAAAACACGCGAAGACTGAGCTTTTCCGCAAAATTTTCCACCGCTTCCATATGCACAATGCGCGGAGGCACTGCCGGCCATTAAAATGCGAATTCCGCGGCCATATTGCACTCCGAGTTCGTGTAAACAACTTCTAATAAAACTGCGGCCGCTAGTGTAGATTTTAAGGGACTGAATATATACCATCAGTCGCTTGAACGTTACGTCAAAGCTTCCTTTTTCGGGATCGCCGTCTCAGAGAAGCTGTTGGTGTGCTTTTTGGGCGCAAGCTTCATTATGGAGTTCAGTATTCGCAAAACGGGATGAAGTTTTCGAAAGCTTTGACGTGCCTTAATGGATTTTAGCAATCGAGCAGTTGAATTCGCTGAACCAGTTCATGCTTTTGAGCCCCATTTATGCATTGCGAGGTCTCAGAGGCTCTGGGAAATTGTTTCACCAGACAATGAATTTCGTGAGCCGCTAAAATATGAATTGAGATTAAATTGGTTTTTGATTTGAACACATACGCAACGAAATGCAACATTTTGGCGCAAAAGGTTTTGCGTTGCAGCCGGCAGGATTGTGATGCTAATGGCCCTTTCAGTTTGGGCCCCTTAGCCGTACAATGCTCCTTGTTGTAAAACGTTTTCGAACGGTATAAAACTATTTTCACCACAACGTTGAATCTCGTGACGTATTTGCTCACATCGTATTGGTCATTAGCTGCACACACAAGCATACAAAGAAATGCAACCGTTTAATCCAGAGTTTTCCTACTATGCTTAGCGATTTCTGAAAAAATAGCCATTTGCAGAATTAAGGATTGTGAGTGCCGTCACGAATTTGTCCACAAGGTTGTCTTAAGCTTCCTTATCCTCGGTCTCGATTCGCTAATATTGTAACCAACCAGACGATGCCAATGTTTGGGCATCCGCCCAATGAATGTTATCTTTTGATTTGTAGCACACATTGTCTGGCGTTGTGGTTGATTTATATATAGGAATTGATGATGTAAACCCTCCTCACTGGGTTTTGACTCATGACCTTTTTCTCCGTTTTCCTTTTACAGAAAATATCGGGAACTTTACAGTTGTTTTGAACCGATAACCTCTAGACAAACACTCTTCGTAGGTTTTGACTTAACAACGGGTATTGAATCAAAGGGACTGGAGAACTGTCACGAAGATGTTTGGCATCTTCGAATGTGATCACTTATTGTCCGGCAGCTACAGGCCTCTTTGCATCCCGAACTTGGCGTGCCGGACGATGGAATCCAGCCCAAGCGGAGCTATTGTAAACCACACAATTACGCACTATTTTCGTGATCTGATCACCATTACAACCATAGTACCGCTCGAGTTCTGGACTCGCTTGAGCCGCAGACGCTTTGCAGTCGATGAACGGAGTGGCTTTTCATCAGTTTGTATCAGCGTTGGAATTTGGTGCTAAGCTGTTCATGATGACAATTGTCACCACCATTAATGATGGTGATGGTAATGAACCGGCTTGTCCGCGGGGCAAAGTCAATGAGTACATGTGCTCGCACAGTGTCGTAACGGAAGTCTATTGATGTACCCCAAAATCAATGACAGCCTCATATGGAAGCTCTCCACCGGCAACTGATTGCCACTAACTAAGTCCACAGCTTGTTCGTTTTTGGAGGTTTCCAAGTCACAGTGGGGGTGCTTTTGTTGGTTAGAAATAAGTGATGTTCAGCACACAAGTGAAGAGTGCGCTCCCCATTGTCCGTGCCACCATAATCACGATATCTGTACTTTCTGATGACTACAGTCACCCTGACAACTCTATATATGCTGTTCTTCAGCTCCAGAGTTGCTGTCTTCCGGAGAGTATGCTGACACAACAAAGAGACAGTGTTTAACACATCGGGATGCTTTGATATTGATTGAACCAATCAATTTAACATCGGGAAGACGACTGTTTAATTCAATCCAGTCCAGCGAGGCGAATTGCGCCCTGGGGATAATAACAACTCCCACGTTGTAGGTATCGCGAGCCATTAAACCAGGATCGCCAGAAATGACGAGTAAATTGCTGGAAATCTGGGTTCGTACCGAGTGGTTTGAAATCGATGACTGAACCGAGTTCTTGTGTGTGTGTTTTGGAGGCACGTCATCATCATCATCAAAGACAGCAACATCACTGTTGACACTGATGCTGCCGTACAACCATCTTCGTGAGAGAAGTTCCGAGTACGGACGCCGAAAGCAGCACTGTGAGACAGATCCCTTGAATTTAATGAGGGCTTCTTTTCGGAAAAGTTTGGGAAACAATGGAGAGGTTGATTACGGGGCAACGTTTCGGTTTTGTCACAAGCCTCGTCAGGCCAAATGACAAGGTTACCTGGTTGGTTAAGATTTAAGCGGAAAGCAAACCAATCAACTAAATCAGTCTTAATCGGTGTTAGGTGTCGGCTAGGTGATTCTGTTTGTCAGGGTGGGTCACTCTGTGTCCTACACGGAAATGGATCCAGCTCACGGTTTAGTTTTTCCAGTTCGCTTCACTCGAAGATTGCACTTGAACGCCGTTTACAACTTTTGTCCGTCTGTTGGGATGGGCTAGTGCTACGATAGCTGTGTAAGGGGGAGAAATTCTGTGAAATTAGGTTTGGCTGGGATATCTACCCGCTTTTTTGCTAATGGTTTTGTGTTCAACTGTAGCACCCTTTTGGGTACCCTAATTCCACGCCAAAGGAAGGATGCACGGGGGCTGGGATAGTGCCACGTCGCCCAAGAGCAGTCAAGATGGCTCAATGGTTAAAGCCTAGGTTGGTGTCATAACTACTGAACTATCTCGGTCCTACTCAGCTATCTCGGTTTATCTAAGACCGCTCTCCATATGCTGGCTAATTCCACCTCATCGATTTTATTTACGCTATGATGCGTGGTAATTTCCACCGCCTTGGCAATCAGTTGCTATGTTGTGACTCGCAGTCCCCGTCCTAATACTTCCACCGGGTATCCTATTTCTTAAAGTCTGGACAATCTCGATGTGGGCTACTGTTCGATCGGCCTCTTCTGTGTGCAGCGCTCTGACTAAAGCTTGATTAGATAATACTGGCGTACATGAGCTTTGGGTGTGCTAACGAGTAGTTAAGATCAATCCCTGTCTGTCGGCGTATGCGGACATCAGTTTTTAATTTTCCACCACTCTTATGTGTCATACAGTGTCACAAATTGGACTGTGCCCGAGGTAAATCCCATCTCCATGCTAAACTTGATATGAGGAATAAAACTTTTGGGATAGTTGTGGAGGTTGTTCAACTCTTCATATTCGATTACAACACAAGTCAAAAGATTTTTTGAAGTTATTTTACTGAACAGAAGCGTAGACAGGAAACAATGGTTAGTTAATTGACAGCTAAGTTATTCAGTAGGACTTAAGTGCATGCCATGTTGACAGGATTAAGTGAACTGTAAGGGCTGTAAGGGCAAATGTTACTTCCCGGTTGCCAAGCTGGAGAAGGGAGTTCGGTTAAGGTACCCGCTTGCGCCTTTGACTCAAAAATTTGACCCACAAGATATCTGGACGATTTAAATTTTTGTTCGAAGTCCCTTCCTCACGGTACGTGGATTGGCTGTTCTCCGCCACAAGATATCTGGACGATTTAAATTTTTCTTCGAAGACCCTTCCCCTAGCCTCTGACTCCAAGGTTTAAACCGCGAGACAGCGGTTTTCTCGAGGGGTTCTTTCCCCGAGCGACTAACTCAGTAGTCTGACCAACTTGACTGTAGGGAACTGGCCTAGTCGGGGGGGGGGCGGGGGGATTAAGAGCATGTCTGTCTGACTCCAAATGCGACTTCGCACGGTGTATGCCTTCCGAGGAGTTCCACACTCTGGGTTTAAAAGCATTTCGACCATAACCGAATGATGTGCCGGTGGTCACGGTTAACCGTTTAGCGAGGGAAGACAAAATGATTGCTTACGTAGATGCAGACATGCTGATCGTCTGAAGGAAGCGCTTTACTGCACTTCTTCTCCTGTCACAGAAGCAGCGCTATTTCGCCTCCAAACCGCCTTCTATTACGAATCCTCACAGTACGTGGATTGGCTGTTCTCCTTCGGATTGCTCACTATATCGTCCTTTCTTGCGTGGTGAACCCTTAGTAACTGAACCAAAGCCAGTATAGCCACAGAATTAGTGCACAACGGAGGCATGACCGCCACAGTAAAGCGACAGCTTTAAGTCTGGATTTATTGCTGACCTGGAGCTGTAATGGTGCTCCATCGTTAGAGAGGCAGTCATGGTGGTTGACCACTCTGCGCACCTCGGAGCACAGTTGTCTTTAGCTGTGGTGGTTTAGCTGTCCAAGCCACATGTAGAATCAGTAAGGTAAGAGCAGCCTTCAATAATCCACAACACCGTTCAACACCCCTTTCTGGGTTTGAAGCCGGGCCTCTCCAATCTGAACGCATCAGACGACTCACTGTTTTCGACCATGGTCGCCTACGAAGCCCATTGGATATCTGGGGGCAGCAACAGGTGACTAATACTTAGGTGCATCTTCTGCGAACTAGATGTAGGACAATGTGGATTTCTTTCGGGACACGTATTGAGGATAACAACTCAACATTTTCCAAAGTGTCTTTCATTCGCAAGTTCAGGCTATAGTTGAAGAAAGAAGTTGATCAAGGGGCAAGTTAGTCCCGAAATACGGTGTTACGAACGGTATTTCAAAAGAGTACCACCTTTTATCTAGAAAACGGATATAATATATTCTTAGGGCCATTTTTTTGCATATCTCTTCACAGACCCACACATCACACATGCTCAGCCCTTCTACACTGCTTATTTTCTTCCTTTTTAGGCGTCTTTACAACATTTGTCTTTTAAGATTCTGTGACAAGCCATGTCCGAAGAACTTTCTTTTGAGCAGCTCTCTGTGTCTTCCAATGATTCCTGGGCCTTACTGGATGTGGAAGAGCCGGCGACCGCTACTGCTCCTGGCAGTGTTGATTTGTTTGTGATTGATCGGCTTGACAAAGATATTTGCTTTATTTGCAACCAACCACTGTCAGCTTCTCGCTTCCCATGCCCGTAAGTTGTCAGGCTTTATTTACCTATGTCCCATCCATTCCCTAGTTCCTGTGATATCTGCCTGATTTGTGCACAGTGCATGGAAACCTATGACCCCCACCGTGCTCCTGTTTGCTGTCATACCTTTCCTACGGATGCAGAGGTGCCCATGTTCTACTTCGACGATTCTCAGGGTGAAGTACGTTAATGTATTTTCTTTTCCTTACATTCTGCTTGTGGATCGCGTTGTCATTTTCAAGGGTACCAGCCTGATCCAAGCAGTAACAAGCCCTCAGGGTACGTCATTGTTCGTCACATTAAGTGGGCATGAAACCCTAACCCGAAAAATCCAAGCAAGATTATGATCAAAAAGTGTGTATCACAGCCCCACATTTGTAGTGTTAGCGCAACGGTATTCGTATACGCTGTCCATACTGTCGATAGTCGTGGTGTAAAGGACACGTCTGAGCTTATCGATAATCCATTCTCCTGAGCACACTTGTTTTACGTGCCGCGTGTTCTTCATTTACCAGACCACAGGGCGGACGATACTGGACATGATGCGGTCGATTACCTAAGATACCTTCAAGTCTTTGATGAGTAGTATCTTGGGATCATCGCTGATACGAGCTGGCGCTAACTACTTCGTTGTGATGTGGTTGTCAGCTAGGTATTCTTTGAGCGGTGGATGCCTTGCTTCATGAATATATGTGGTCAATTTGGTGACCTGCTCACCTGGCCTGATGAAGCTTTTGTGTCAAAAGTGGGACGTCGTCCAGTGGAAAACTACCAATAGTTTACCCAACCCTTCTGAAATGACGGACTGCTAACTGGTTGCTTGATATCGCCACCTGTTTGGCATGAATCATGAGCCACTCTACTGGTAGACACCCGGCTATTTCTCCACGTATTCCTGTTCCGATCAGCTAATTTGTTTTCCTACATCACCTTATCTTTATCGAGCAGCAACGAAGTGGAATTTCTGCGATATGGCTTCTGGGTTTCGGTCCAAAAGTTACCAAACAGAGTCTAACTTTCATTTTGGACTACCAACAGTTGGCAGACACAACGCTCACATGGTGCATAAACCTAGGTTACCTTCGTTATACCACTAGCTAAAGTCCAACACATTCATGCTGGATTAAGACTTTGGCGAAACCACATGGAATGTGAATCTATTTGCCATAATAAAAAGACGACTTTAATGAATCCTCCAACATAGAAAGACAAAGTTCCTTGAGTTTTCAGCAACCTTATTGGTGGTGTGCTCAGTTAAGCAACTGAGTTTTTTCATGTGGTTTGGGTTGTAATCAGTTTAACATTTTGAGTTGAGCTGAGCATGTTGGAAAAACACTGACCAAGAAACCAGCAGTTTGACGGTTGGGGTGTGCGACTATCATCGTTAAGTTGTGAGAAGTCAGCGGACGGACGGTGGAGGAAGAGAGGAGCACATATGAATCTTGTGGGAGTGAATATGGCTATGTTCTACTGGCCCAAATCACGAATCGTTGTGAGAACATTGTTCAGTGTGCTGGTGCCTTGTATGCGGTCTCCATTAATCTAAAATGAGGCCAATATTCCAGAAAAATAGAGGCAGAGAATACGGAATGTAAGGGCATGTACGCCACAGAATCAGTGTTAGGGGAATCGCGAACATCTGCGTTGACTGTGCGAATCTGAGGAGAAAGCGCGCATTCAGGGCTTGTATCTGGTTGTTTATAGGGGCGAGATGGGTCAAGTGGTTAGAGCGCGAATTTACTGACCGGAAGGTCCGTGGTTCGAACCCGACTTCCGCCACTCGACTTCCCCTGTCTAGGCTTGAGCAACCTGGCAGTATCGCAGCCCTCGTGCTTCCTTCGGGTGGCATGACAGTTAGGCACCGAAATGGTGCCACAGCTGAACGATTTTATCACAAACCAGGATGTCCGTACGTTAGCGGACATTGCACCGAAGGTTCACAAGACAGCAACACATGCCAATTCACTTTCATCAAGGGTCCACGGTGGGTGTCTATGCTTGTGATACGTACGGCGGCAGAGCAGTAGTGCTGACGGGGTTGCTGTCACCCAAGGGACATGGGGTTGTTTGCCCAGGACTGAACTTTTGGAGAAAAAAGTGGTGACAGAGGTGGAGCCGTAGTTATCTGGCTCGGATAGACAAGAGAGTACCTAGGAATTCTCCCAATTAAGGAAGCTAAACTGGAAGAGAGACAAAGATAGAAGAAAGGCCATCTATTTGGGTCGTGTGCGGGACAGAGTAGGTGAATGCCATTCGCACGCACCCGGATGTCGTGCGCAAAATGCTGCTGATACGGATTCACGTTTTTCTTGTAAGTAAACGCTTCCACTGTTTGGAGAATGTCGACTTTATGAGAAAATTTTCATAAGTAGGAGCGTAGCAACGTCGGTGGCGTCTCCTGTAGTAGTTGTGCATGTTAACCTAATGACTGAATAGCTTCTGACCGGAGTGTAACGCGAACCCTGAAACAATATGGAAAGCAGTTGGATTATGAGAAAAATGAATTCCGCGTATCTCAAGTGTGAGGTGAAACTTGCGTGTGATCACCCTTCGGCCGCAAACAACTAACCTAAAGTTTGAACAAACCTCCAGCAAAAAGGCCGAAGTTGAAACGGCGATCGGTGTCGAACTGTATCGTGAAGTAGGGCTTAGCTAGTACATTTGGATAGATAACCAATACCAGGTACTTTTAGACTCTGTGTTGGTGCAAACGATCATATGGTGTTTTTCCTCGCTTCCGGTTTGGTGACTGTACATAATCTTTATGAAATACCTACTCAGTTTCAACTAAACACTCACGCTCTGGGTTCACCTCCCCGTTCTCCTTGTTTGTAGGATGTGCTCATCATGAATCCTCTCAAGGAAGTTCACCCTGTCTCCTGCGTCTCTGAACCCGATCGGCTGACCACTTCGACCGAGGTGATTCAAAGTTCACATGCCACGCCAGATTCGAACATTCTGGATAGTAGTAAGTGACAGTGCTATCCGCTTTCCTTCATCCGTGTTCACCTAAGGTTGATCGAATTCACGCATGGGTTTCAGTTGGCCGCCAAACCTGCCGCTGATGTCCCTTAAAACCCAGCTAAACTTTTGTGCTGAAGCGGCCGGATCACTTGCTAAGTTGCGCTATTAACCAGCAAAGCATGATTATCTGTTCATCGATGGAACGCGGATACAGGTTGGCCTGACGTCCGCACAGGATTTGGGATACATCTAAACGTCTATCTTACACCACTAGCTCGTTGGAGACCTACTTCTCTCTCTTTCTAAACTGCGTCCATCGGTGCGCACCAAGCAAGTCCACCGTAGGCTTTCATCGAACACTCCAATCCAAGTTACCGTACACTCTCTAGCCTCTCTTTTCAACCTCACTTTCCCGCATATTAGTGGCACCCCGAAACTGCATACACTGAAATATAACCGTCACTATTATTGTGCGTGGCATCCTTACTCCAGCAAAAGCAACTGAAATGAGCTACATGGGGAACCTGTGTAACTCGATTGTTGAGCTGATTTGATGGTTTTTAACTGCTTAGCTAACTTGAAGATGGTGCATACTACTCAAAAGGTTGCTGAAAACTCTTCGGCAGCTCAAGACCGCTTCCCACCTGATTGGGGGTCATCAGGTAGATGCAGTTTAAGAGTTCCCTTCAACTTTTTGTTCCATTCGAAGAATGGTTCAGTCGGATCTCCGTTAGAAACCATATGAGTGCATGAAAGTTAGTGTATTTTGCGCATTAATTATATCTTCCAGTGTTGCTATTTCTAGTTTTTTTTATGATCGCTCGCTGATCGAATCCTGTTAGGTGTATCACTCCAGAATATCAACCCAGCGCCACATTCCCATCCAGAACGGCATATAGGATTGTGGACATACTGAAACTAAATTTTCGTAATTCAATGATGGTTTGCCATCTAACTGCAGAATATTGCATAATTCGAATAACTCTGACCGCATCTTTGATAAACTTGAAGCGGATTATTCTGTCTCTTAATGCCAGCAGGTGCTTTGTCCTACTGTGCTTGTAGAACATACACGTATGGCCGGATCCTCTGACAGTTAGCCATCTCACACCCTAAGATGCCCCCTTGTTGCGTCACGCTCATGAATACTTTCTTTATCTTACTTGAATTGTGCGCATCACTTCCGGTTTTCTACCTGATCTCTCCTGTTCAGAGCTGGTCAGTTGTACAGTCTATACTCACACACACACATGCTGGTGTTTCCTCGTTTATCTTCATCATTCTGCCACACCAGAATCACAGTCAAATCAGTTTATTTTGTTAAACTAAGTTTTGCTCTGATTCATCCATCTCTCCAATGTGCACCGACAAATTGAGTCTGATGATTGGCACTGAAATAACGGGCTTCACGCTGTGCAGGTAGGAATGTTCCTCCTTCTGTGTTCTGCACTGCCTCTTCAAGCATTGTATATAAAATTCCACGTGCCTTTTGATTCCTGACTGGCTTCCCGTTACTGGTGCCACTGAAGTAGACAAGCTTCTGACTACGCGTAACTCAGTGACAATCCTACAACTGCATCGACAGCTGTAACAGTGTTGGAGATAGACAGCTCGGTGCCGGCAACTCCTCATTAGAATTCTGACTCTGTTTATCAGTCTAAACTGTTTCATTACGGCCGAATGTATGGGGTATGACAATCGAACATCTCAAAGAAAGAACTGGAAAAAAGAAGGACTGATTAGAACGATTATGAACAGAGGACAGTCGCTAACCTGAGCACCACCAAGAAAGTCGCGCCTTATTCAGCTAGTGTGATTTTGCGGGGTGAAATGGACATAACAAAGATTTCGTCCTGTAATTTATGCCAATGTATGCTGAAAAACCGAGAAGCACCGTACAGTGGTTTCAACCTGTTTGAAAATCGTCGGCAGTGAGCATCTTACGAAACTCAAGGGTGTCTCGAACCCACGATCTGCTAGTGGTGGGTCAACTAACCATTCAGTCATGAGCGGCCGGAATGTCCGATAGTGAGAACAAGCCTCTAACTTTCTCAAAATCATACTGGACAAATGCGTCTGGTCTGTAGGTCAAGAAAATCCAAAATCGTTCAGCTGTATCACCTTTTCGCTGTTTCGAAGGAAGCACAAAAGTTGAGATGGCGTTAGGTTTCCCAAATCTGGATGCTGAAGTTCAATCTACACCACCAACTTTCCGGCCAATGGGTTCGTGCCTTAACCAATGAGCCGCCTCTAGCTCAAATAGCTAATTAATTGGTGATTCAAGAAGATTATAAATGACGATCGATAATATACTAATGTCAACCAATAGACCAATAGGCCCGGTCTTCAAATCAACAGATTACGTAAAACACCGAGCAGTCTCTTGTGGCTTGTTCTATATTTCTGCCCGGCGAATCTCTTTCGTCAGTGAGACTACTAGTGTCAACATAAGTTCTTTGTATGTCAGTGACCTGAATGCGTTATTTTAACACATCTAGACGAGTCTAGTTATGGGTTGACTTAGGATGAGAAGAGGGTGATAGATCCAGTTAGGATGTCTCCAATGCCTACTCAGAAAGAAATAGCCGAGCCAGCAACATTCGTCAGCACATTCAAGACCTACAACTGGGCTAGAAGCTTGATACTCATCAACATGACAAAACTGTGCCCTAATCGTTCACTGTAGCGCCCCTTTCGGTGCCTAGNAAGGACGAGGGCTTGGATACCGCCAGGTTGCCCAAGCCTAAAGAGGGGAAGTCGAGAGGCAGAGTTCGGGTTCGAACCACGGACCTTCCGGTCAGTAAATTCGCGCTCTAACCACTTGAGCCATCTCGCCCCCAACTGTGTCCTGGAGAAGATCAGTATCATTGTGAAGAGGCAAAGAACACTGCCTTTCAACATGTATTTACTGGAAAAGAGAGCAGAACTGAACGGCCAACCGACAAACAACGAGCGTGGTGTCATCTAGTTCGTATTTCATTACCTGATGCCACTAGACCTTAACTGTTGTGCACTAGCAAGTTCTCGCGTGTAGCAACACCACGGGGAGGAGGCAGTGGCGACAAGATATTAGACAATTTGGATTTTGGTTTTTTAAAGACTGTACCCAAATTACTTTTCTGGGTTCAGCTGGATCACTCTGGAGATATGTAGAATAGCGCAACAACGTTTTCTTAATCTGTCGCACCAACGCAATTTCATTAATTACTGTAAGCACTGGTAGTCAAATTCTTCTCGAATATCCTCAAATATTATCGTTTCTGATTGGCCAGGTTGTAGTGTGTACTACACAATCGCAGTGTGTGCACACAGTGCTTTGTTCGAAGATTGTAATTGGAGCTTTTCCAAACAGCGCTGTGTAGCTGCGGGAAGGTCTTGCGTTGTTTAGGTGAATACCTATTTCTTGCCGTGCTTGACCATTTTGGAAGATGGTGTAGTCAAATTTTTTTAGAGGAACCCACTTGGTTTACGGATTGTCCATTGAAAGTGAGTGAGTTAGACTGGGTGTTCCGCTAGTGTTTAAGAATCTGGCCTTTTCAGAGGTTGATCCTATTTCAGCCAGCAAAGCGTGCTGGTCAGTGTGATTAACAATGGGTTGCGTTTCTGTTAAATCTTTCCTAAAGACGACGATATTGTTAGCATACTGAAGGTTAGTAACCCACTCGATAGGATTTATTTGTACCCTTAGAAAACCGTTGAATTTAAGGGAGATGATCTAATAGATTGTGTGACAGAGAACCACAGGCAAAACTGGAATGGAGATGAGAGGCTTTTTGGATAGTCGGACGTGACAAACTTTGCTTGCGATCAAGATAACACTTGAATATGTACAGCCCCTACTTCGTTCCACTTCGTTTTGGAACTAAGTTCGCAGTTTACGTTTTCGGTGTAGACTATCTGAACCTACGAAAAATGCAAATTTGCGGTTGCCTGACTGGTGAGCGCGTCCGAGTTTGAGACACTTTTCCGTGCCTTCAAGGTCGGTCCTGCTGCCCGTATTTTAGCCCTTAGTTTGTACCAAGCCGTAGGTTGAAGTGTGAACTGCATTCGTTGACTCCCTAAATCGCAGTGGGTCCTAGAGACAACACGGATCAGGCTTCCTCGCGAATGCAGTTGATAAGACGATTTGTATACGAAGGACGTCCCCAGCGCCCCACGGCTTTTGTTTGAGTTTGCATTCCAGTGCAAACAGCAAGACCACAGGGAGGGCTCAGAGAACCGCTGTTGGTGGGCCTATGTAGCAATTTTACAAGGTTCGGTTGCCAACAGTGAATCCATTATGGCCTGGTGCCACTACCTTTGGATCCCCGTTCGCACTTTTCCACCAGCTTTCACACCATAGTTGACCATGTCACGCCACGATGAGCAGGATTTTGACTTTGCGGAGGCAAGATCACCAGTACTGCTGGAGAGAAAAGCTCGAGCCATTTTGAAGGAGAGGTGGATGTACAAGCTATTGAACGGAATGCCGTAGAACCCAGCAAGAAGCTGTATCCACAGGGAGGAGTCGAATATTCAATTTAATCGTAAGAAAACAAATTTCAGAGGACGATGCCCTGTCTGATTGTACAGAAGTAGGGAAACCCTTACTACGTTTTGAGGAATAGCCGTTATACCGATATCATAACCACTGTTCAGCCGTAATTTTTTAACCCCCAACACGCAAGTGTTTAGGACAATCAGCTGTAAACTGATGTGATGTTGATGGGAAAAATAGAAAAAAGACCTTATTAAGCACTACTCATAAGTTGCTGAAAACTCTTCAACTACCCATGACCGATTTCGCCTCAGCTGGTTCCCGAGTTTCCCTCAGTGTTATATGTTCTACTTGAACCATCTACTTGGAGCTGGATCCATTTTTAAGTCGAAACCAAATTCGTCTGCGAATGAGAGTATTTGAGTGGGGACCATCTTCCGTTCTACTTTGATAGATAACACGTGACACTAACCACTTCAAACAATTCCATGGGTTTAAACACACAACAAATTCAAGTTTGGGAGGACCAACTCCCGGTAAGACCTTTCAACCGCAGACTGGTAAAACTTAATTCCCGGTTCCGAGCAACATCAAGCAACCGCATCTGCTAATGAGCAGTAAATGACCTTGTTGATTGGCCGATAATACCGTGGTATTGTTTGCTCTTTTTATACGACCCCTTCGTCCGTCATATTCTAATTTCATTTTCCAAGGCTGCTTCATTTTTGTCCTTCTGGTGTGCTATTTTATTCTGCCATTCGACTTCCCCCTTATGTTCTTCTCGTTTCCGAGAAATTTTGCTTTGGTCGTGATTGTTTTTCACCCTGTGCTTCGCTTCAAGGCTGAAGAATGGTGTGGCAGAGCAGCATTTTGGAGTTGAAATCACTGGTCAACAAAACGCGTTAGATAAGGTCAAGGTTGATGTGGTCACATGTGCACAAGCGTTAAGGACACTACTGGTCAACTGGAAGTGAGGGATTCGGCTCGGGCGTGTTGTTTGTACGTAAGCCCGCGGAAAAGTAGCTAAGGTTTTAGGATGTTAATCAGCGGTTTAAGACCATTGCAGCAAGAGAATAATATTAAAATATTTTCCTACAACAAACTGGATGTAATTAATGTCACATGACGTAAACACAAGTTGATGTGGATTCATCCCTGCAAAAGTTTTGGCCTCGAAATCTTTGAAACCCTTAAATCTCTTAGGTGGAGATTCTCCCCTTTGAAGAACCACTAGTCCCACGGTAGACAGAACTTGGCAGTAGCACACTTGAGCTCTGGCCTCGCTGTGCAAGCAGCGAGCGTTTTGGTTCTTGTATAGTTTCTCATCTTCTGGCAGCTAAACTGTAAAATCGATCGTGACATTCCTTTCTGGTTGCCACGGAAGTTGTAGGCGGCATTGACTCGTCACAATCACTGCACCTTCTTGGATGCGTCAGAAGGTGAGAGCGTATTGACAAAAAGCCAACAGACTATAGGGTCGCTCAAAACAATGCTTCTTACGTTCTGCGTACTAGGGCGAGTGAGTGCATAAGTTCGTGTGGCTCAGGTGACTAGTATAAGGTTTCGTAAATTTATACCAATTAATTTGGACATGCTTAGGATATTCACTGGCACAACTTCGGGAGGATAGCAGAGTTTTTGGTGCAGTTGTAAATCTCAAATCCTCAAAATGATTCCCACCAGCACCACTGTTGTCTGTATCGTCATAGCTATGATCGCTGACGGTAGCATCCTTGTTGACATTGATGTCTTGCTGCCTTGCAGCCACATGACTTTATTCAAATAGTTATAAAATGGAAGAGGGGGGTGGGAATGAATTGGGAGTACAACCTTCTCAAGGCTACTACAATCATCCTGCACCTCTAGTGACTCACTTAGACAGTTTTGATGTAGACTGTATGCATCAACACTGCTCATTCTGGTTGGCTGCCGTATCTTTCAGCGCTGTCAACCAAGCACAGTAGGAGGGACAGTGGATGGGGGACCGCACCATCAGTAACGGAACATTTCAGAATCTCGTTTGCACCCTTGAGACCAAGTCATATGTCGCTCACCTCGTAGTCGAGGCAATGAAAAACAACGCTAGTTTCGGTAGACGGTCACGCGAGATTCTAATGCAACTATTGAGGTCTGATGAAGTCAGTTCAAGAATCTCAAAGGCTCGAATCACGTTAGCTAATTTGCGTCACTTATGGCGTCAAAAAGGCATCTCACTGGATCTTAAGGGTCGTGTTTACCAGCCTACAGCAAAGGCTGTGTTGTTGTATGGGTGCGAGACATGGCCTCTTCGGGTAGATGATGTGAGGCGTCTTCAGGTTTTCGACCACCGATGCCTCAGAAGTGTGGCTGGTTATGGATGGCGTCAGCGTGTTAGTAACGACGTGATTAGAAAACGGGTATTTGGTTGTGCTGCAGGCACCTCAATCCGGGAAAACATCTAGCATCATCGAATACGATGACTCGGTCATGTGCTACGCCGAGACGAGTGTTGTTCTCTGTGCCTCCTTCAGGATGGCGCAAACCGCGAGGTGGACGGCATATGACTTGGCAGAAAGGCGTGAAAGAGATCATAAAGAGTTTGGGTGTTGGTGTTGTACACCTCCCAGGATGGGTCCCCCGTGACCCCGTCTGTGCGTGGCTGGAGACGTTGCAAGAAATGGCGGCTAATTGATGTCAGTGGCGTTCGTGCTGTCAGTTTCTTTCCAGATTGTCTGATTGAGCGGTTAAAGATGTAGGCACCTCAGAATGCTTGACATAGGCCAGCACTAGGNTTATGGTATGGTTGTATGGCAGTGAAGCATCAGTGGTGATGATGGTTATTGAGGTATCCGGTGTAGAGATTAAGAAGCAGTCTGCCAACTGAAAAATTTGCCTTGCCGTGACATTTGTGACCTTATTGTCTGTCCTCTCTAGAATCAAACGACTTGAAAATAGCTCAGCCTTCATATTTTCTTTGGGTCTCATCATTGCTTCACAAATGGATAGCCTTTTACTAGGTCCTCAGGTCCGTCAAAACTTCTTCGTTAACCATCTGTTCCAGTCTGTTTCAGTCTTTCCTCGTAATTTCAGAGCTCCACGCCGACACCAAAGACCCCCTGTGTCTACGAGATTCGGATTACCGGTCTCTGACAGATCATGTGCGAGAAGCACTCAAACTTCATACAACCGAAGCAGATATTGACGACAAGTCAGTGGTCGCAACAGCTCCGGAGAACGCCGTCGAAGTACAAACTGCGGTGAGAGATTTCTTCTTGTTTCGGTGATTTAGTGTCGCCGCCCATTCGATGAATCTATTACCCTATAATTCTGTGCTCGGATGTAGGCCTGCTGACCCATTTTCCAAATCAATGATCTGGTTTTTTAGTAGTATCTCGCTCAAACGTGCTAGTTTTCAAACCTAAGCTTCAAAAATAGCCTTTTCGTGTGTAAAACATTGGGATAACGTGGCAGGTTGATTGCTGTTCCCACTTTTTCTGATCCCAATCGCTTGAGTCCGTTTTGTTTCTCCAATGATTGACTCGATGGGGTTGGTTTTTTGTGTGCCAGTAATTCCGCGCGGAAGTTCACTTAGCAGCGTCGACCTTTGGTTGTGAGGTTTCACGTTTGATTTCCCACCAGGTTCTAGTTAACGGGCATAGTTATTGTTAATTTCTTAGAGTTATTGGTCTGTGGCGGGATCTTTCCCAGAAGGATACTGCACCTTCTTAGTGATACTCACCATACGTTGCTGGATATTCAATCTCTTGGAGGGGCTGTTCTTTTGGTGGGTTGATCGCGCCTCATCGTTCGGTTGGAGGGGACGGGGGAGGGTCGGCGAGTGAAGAGCTGCGACCCGAAGGCGGGGTTTGATTGAAGTACATCACTTTGAGCCTTTGACTGAAAAGCACTTTGCACAAAACATTGGGAGGATGTAGGGTTCTGTTCGAGGACCCTTCTAGCCTCTAACTCAGAAGTTTGAACCGCGAGACAGCAGTTAGGGTTTTCTTGGGGGACCTTGTTTGAAGCCAGTGTTTCAATAGTCTGACCCAATTGGCTCCAAGGGTTCAGCCTGGCCTGAGTGCCTGATTCCTAATGCGGCTGCTCGCAGCAGGTGCCTTTTGGGCAACACCAGACTATGGCTTTGAATGTATTTTCACCATACTGAAAAATGCGCTGGTGTTCACTATCAACCGTTTGGCTGTCGAATTGTGCAGTTTTTGGATCCGGTCTTTTCTAAATCGTCCTCCTTCGGGGAAGGACAGCATCGCTGCTTCCACAATTATTGAGATGCTGGTCGCTTGAAGTAAATATTACTGCCTTCAAACCCCTATCGCAGAAGACAGCATGACTTTCCTTCCACAGCGCTTCGAAATGCAATTTCTGGCAGCACGGGGACTTGCTGTTTTCCATCAAGCCGCTCACCTTTGACGTTTCTGGTATGGTTAAACCTTGGGGCACTGAGTTCCGGTCATTGTGGCTCTCAGGGTCATTGCAGCACTGAAGTCCGTCTACCCCCCACCACCGTGGTTTACAGTTTGAAGACCGTCAACTACTGCCGGTTGTGTACTGAACCACCAAAAGGTGGTACTTTGTAGCCGCGCTGTTCGACCAGCTAAGTTGATGTTCTACGTCTAGATCGACAATGAGAGTTCAGGTGTATGCGCGGCAAGGGTGAGCTCACGCACTCTTATTTGTTCTGACCCTTTTGGGTGTATCCTCGTTGTCCTATGCAGACGCAGGATGTCCCACCCAGTATGAACTTAGCATTCGTGTTGATTCAAAAGCCATGAGTGTGATGTGCTGTACTGAGGACAGCACATGACACACTGAAAATCCAAAACAATCACAACGGTACGAAAGTGGTGTATTTACGAAGCAGTTTAAATAATGCGTCGTGTCTCCACCCTTAAATGTGTAGTTGTCCGACAGCCGGTCCGAGTCAAATGTAACAGTGGATAGCTTTCTGGTTTGTGTCTGACTGCAACGCACATCTGGTCTCATTTTCGATCACATGCTATACAACCATGTATCCAACTAGTTCGATGGGTGTGTTCCTCAACAACCTGTGGCTGGCACTTCAAGGTTGGAAGACAGGTGTGTCTCATTCGATCCACGATAGACTGCAAATTTTCCCGGCGGTTGTTTGAATTGATACACCCCAATCATGAGCCTGCTTGATGAAAGCTGAAAGAACGCCACAAGGTTCTGAAAACTGCCTTGAAATAGATAACTTTGGTACGAATCACGGACATCCCTTGTGAGGTACAGCCACCAGAATCGTCTCTGTGTACCAAATTCCGACTCACTTCATTCCGAGTAGCCATGTTCGGCTTATAAGTTTGCACTACTCGCCTTATTTGATTGGCAGCATCACCCTCCCTACAGGATGTAAGTAAGTAGTACAACTGTCTGGTACTCTCAACCGTTCCCACGTGACGCAAGCTAGTTTAGTATATGCTAGCAGCAGCCACCTCTTCAGTGTGCGGTTTCTCTTCGTCGTTCTGTAGTTTGACGTAGGTTCACTTATATCACTGCCCAGTCTTGACTGACGTCAACTCCCAGGCGTCTAATTGTATTTCGGTTGGAGTTTGGGTCGCGGTCGTCGAGAAAGCCTGTTTGTATTACCATGTCTCCGATCAGGTTTGTGTTTAAAGAAAGTTGTCTCTGGTACAGCTTTCCTGTTAATTAGAGCTGCTGCTCATAACAAGATCCAGTTTTCATGTGGGTGTGCGAGCGATCTCTTGCAGACGATTTCAAAATATACGGGCGTGACTTCTTTAACCTTTTTCCATTCGTCATCCAAATCATCATTATTGCCTTTGTATTTTCGAGCCCTATAAGCTTTTCATACGAGACGCTTTGTAAGTGATGAGCTGTATGGCTTTACACATAGCGTGCCCGCACAACATCGTGATTGGTGTCCAGTAGTGTAATCCAAAATGGACGACACCCTTTTATCGAGACCATCCACAGTCGGCTGATTGCTACATGGTCTGTGTGAGTTCAGGACGGTTGGTGGGCCCCCCACCATGAGCTCACCTGATTAAAGTTTTTACTGGCAGGAAACAAATGATATTCAGCACATAACTGAAAAAGGTCGCTCTGCATTATCTTTGTGGTGAGTTTCAACCAAGAAACGAACGCCCAGCTGAACATTTTCTGGCGTTCGTCGGCCGAACTGTGGGCATTCATGTCACCCTCCAGATTCACGATATTTGTATTCATCGCCGATCTAAACGACGGCCTGAAATCTCAGTAGGGGTTGTCTTTCTCAGGTTCACAGCAAAAGTCTGTCTGAGTATATGCTAACAGCACCAATAAGCACCATTTACCATGTCGTGATGCAGTGATCTTAACTGAGCCAGTCAACTTAACATCACAGAGCCTCCCATTCACCGGAATCCAGTCCAGTAAAGCGCATTCATCCCTGGAGCCGAACACAACTCCCACACCTTAGATGCTGTGAATCATTTCGTCAGGATCACCAGAATTCCGAAGGGTAACATGTGAGGAATTTGGTTCATCTCGAACGGTTTTTGGTGCATGACCGAACTGGGGTCTTATATGGAGAGAACAAGGCCTGAGCAAGAGATATATTTTGCCTGTTTTTACACACAATGGACACTGAAAACAAGAGTGTGGAGCTAAACATATGAATTTTAATATACATTTTTTGTAGGTTATTTAACCCCAAAAGAGTTTTAGATACAGAGCAACGGTTAGGTGAGTGGTAGTTAAATTGATCAGAAAGATTTGGACGAGATACGTTTTGGGAGTATTAAGTGACTGAAAATGAATGATGCTTCGGTAATACGGTTTCTCGCTCTGAGGAGACTCGCTGTTCTTCATCTGACTACTCTTTCAGACATGTTTGAACTTAGAGAAAGGAAGGTCCAGGTAGTTTGGCTGGTGGGATCATTACAACCCTCAAGCCCGATCACCACGTCAAGGTGATACCTCTAGGCCGGTTCCGATTTTTGTAAGCGGTAACGTGTCTAGTGCCGCGATTTCCTCTCTCCAACTGTACTCTTCGTGTGGTCGGTCATTAATACCTAGAATAAGGTTTTTGGCACCTGGTGCGCCGTGCAAGGCGCCTGGCGCATTGACCCGATATTGACGGCTTACCGTCCGTCCTGCAAAAATATTCCCCCTCGGTCACTAGATTATTTAGCAAATAAGCGACTTAAGCTGAATCGTCGACGGTACTGCGCCATTTTCGGGTGGTCTCCGAAAAGTTTTAAGTTTCTCAGCGCAATCCTCGGACTTATATCTTCTCATCTATTTCGATATCTCCTATTGATGCGAAAGGATTGTACTTCACTCTGTAGGTAGAGGCACTTGTCTGGATGGGGTTATCAACGATTGAAAACGGCCGCCGATTTCTGTACATTTCCGGTTTTCGTACTATCGCATATACAATGTATTATTAGAACCAGCTTTGAACGTAGCTAGACTACACAATTACCAATGGAATAACCGTTCTCGGTGGGTTGTTCTTCAATTGTCTTCGACAGATGAATCCTCTTCTTACCATCATTTGGGGCCCGCCTACAACTTTTCACGTATGCTTCATAAGCAGTCCGTCTTTGGCTGCGCATGCGTCAATGTTCGGTAGATCAGCTGTTTCGCGCGTTCATTATCTTCCCGATTTGGTTAGGCACGTTCGGCTATCATGCAGCTATTCAGACTCACGTTTACAGTTGGAAGAAGGCATTAAGAATACTGTGGTCCACAACAAAATAATATTTGTAAATTAAGTTTCTCTATGGAATGATGTCTTTCTGATCTGTTGCTTGAGGCGTTAAAACAGCCACCGATGGGCGTTTCAAATCAGGTGGCATTGTTTGAAATTCTGGGAGACCGTGCACCGCCCATGTACTTTGAGTTGCCAATAACCGGATGCAGGTTTTTGGGTGGGCTAAGGGGCTGCGCGCTACCTTGTGAGTAAAAATACTGCTATTAAAAATGATTGCAGTGGTACTATGTATTTCGCACTGCCTCCGTTGTGTTACCCATGACCAACATAGTCAGAACAGTTGGGATAGCCCATGAGACTTAAGTTGTCGAATGATGCTATCTAGAAGTATCTGATAGGTGATCTTTTGAACCTGTTGCTCAGAGAGGGAAGCTCTTATTGATCTCCACTCAACTAGTGTTTTCCGAATTCATCCATATGGATTTGGGTCCTTGATAACGTTAGTGCGCCTTCATCCCTCTCCAATTTACTGGAAGTTGCTCTAAAGCCTCTCCAAAGTATTTGAGGGCGTAGAGTCTCACATTTGCAGGCATCTTCATCACACCTAGAAGATCAAATTTCCCTCTAAGCAGTTTACAGATTTCATCCGCTTCAGAGTCAATCACGTTGTTGAGGCGATAGTTGAACCCCCGCCTGAGGTGTCCAGGAGTAGGTTGACCCTATCGATCTGAGATTAGCGTGCGCCTAGCAATTTCTAAGTGTATCGTCATGCTTCACAAAGTGCAGTCTGAGAATATACCCCTTACTGTTCACTGAAGTGTCTTCTGAAGTCTGTTCAAGAATCTCTTAGGCCTGAATCACGTCTGCTAATTAGCGTCGGAAAGGCATATCAGTGGGTCTCAAGGGTCGCGTGCACCAGGCTACAGTAGGGCTGTGTTGTTGTAGGGCTTCGAGACGTGGCCTTCGCGAACGGATGATGTGAGACGTTTTTTTTACCACCGATGCCTCAGAAGCTTCTCGTGTTTCGGATGGCGTAAACGAGTCAACAACAGGGTGATCATGGAACGGGTATTTGGATGTGCAGCAGGTACTCCAGTCGCGCAAACCACGCAGCACAATTGAATACGGTGGCTCTGTCGTGAGCTACCCAATCCGAAACATCGTCTGCAGAGAGAAGTGCTGTTCTGCGTGCCTCCTTCAGAAAGATGCTAACCGCGAGACCAACTGTGTGATTTGGCAGAAGGGTGTGAAAGAGATTACGAAGAGTTCGGATGTTGTACACCTTCCCGAATGGGGTCTCTGTCACCTCTCCTCGGCTTTTCTGGAGACATTGTAATAAATGGTAGCTGATCAATGTTAGTGGCGTTCGTGCTGTCAGTTTCTTTCCAGGTTGTCTGATTGAGCACTTCGAGATGTAGGCACCTCAGAATATTTGACGTAGGCCAGCACTAGGTCCCTTCCTTCATCTACTCTTTCCTCTTTTCACTCTAAGGCTTTAAATACACTTAGATGAACTTAATGATCCCACGGCAGTTGAGCATCAGTTTCAACACTGATGTTGCTGTCTCTGGTGGTGATGATAATGATAACCAGTTATCAACTACCTCACATAAGCGGCTGAATTGATCAAGAACTCAAGCTAACTTGTCTGACTCTTTTATCCGTATGCATCAGCTCACTCAGGTTTAGTGGCGTGTAACTCGGATCCGCCCCAGGATTTCGTCTTCTATTAAGCTTTTGGTTAAATCAACCCCACGCCCGGCACTTTCGTTGGCGATCAGTATTTACTGAAAGTTTTCATGTTGCGAGTTGACACAGTTCTCGAACAAATGAGGTGGCCGACGTTTTAATGTGCAACTAGTCTTCGTAGGGAACTAGGTGATACAGCGTACGCAGTATCTCAATTGGTCCTGAGGGATGTTGTTGAGTGAGGTATGGTTTCTAAACACGTCAGCTTTCTTACTGAGAGCGTGTTTCGTCTTTGTTCAAGTTGGTCTCGATATTCCTTCCAAACTTCATGTGCCCAGTGGTTGAGGTATCATAGGATTTGACCTTTCTACGCCTAGTCGTCACCAAGGACGAACTTCTTTTTTTTGGTTAACCTAGCGTCATCATACGACGCCCGGCACTTTCGTTGGCGATCAGTATTTACTGAAAGTTTTCATGTTGCGAGTTGACACAGTTCTCGAACAAATGAGGTGGCCGACGTTTTAATGTGCAATTAGTCTTCGTAGGGAACTAGGTGATACAGCGTACGCAGTATCTCAATTGGTCCTGAGGGATGTTGTTGAGTGAGGTATGGTTTCTAAACACGTCAGCTTTCTTACTGAGAGCGTGTTTCGTCTTTGTTCAAGTTGGTCTCGATATTCCTTCCAAACTTCATGTGCCCAGTGGTTGAGGTATCATAGGATTTGGCCTTTCTACGCCTAGTCGTCACCAAGGACGAACTTCTTTTTTTTTGGTTAACCTAGCGTACATCATACGATGTATTAGCAAATTCCGGATGGCATCATACCTTATCGTATTTTGCCAAATTTCCTCATGTTTGTCAAATCCAAACATGCTCAACATTTCCGTCCTGCTCACGCGATGTTACTTCCCAGTAGGTTGATCGTGTATTTTTGTTCAGAGAATAACCTGAAAATGAAGCTAGGCCTTAATAACAGCGTCACAAAGTAGCACATTTAAGAATCTGCTTAAATTGTTCAATGTCTCTACCCTTCAGCTGATTGTCCTCCGACTAAAACTGTAACTGGGCCAGTTCCGATCATGCACCACGATGTTTAAAGGTCACGCAGATCTACCGTCTACCGTATTCTGGCAATTCAGAAGAATGCACACAACTGAGGGATAATATGAACGGCTACCTCTCACTTTTAATCCATCCCGTGTTGGGATGGTAACTGATGTGACGTAACTGTACTTACCTAATCCACCTGTGGCTTCGCTAGTGATCTTTGGTCCTGCCTTACTGTTTTCTCTATGGTAGCCTTCCTGATCCCGTCTGTGACACGATGTTGTTTGTCTCCATTTCCACGCAGGTTCCCGGTGGACCTCAAATGAAGCTGATTCTCAGTCCGAAATTATGGTCTCAGTCGGACAGTCTGAGTAGCAATTTGAGCAGCTCGAGTAACAGTAACAACAATGGGATCCCCGTCCCGAGAATATCAGCAACTCCTGTGCTGCGCACGGCGATTCAGGTGATTCGTGGCTCTTGTAACGCTTCCGAATGTCACACGTCATCGAGTTCGTGCAGCTCACGATCACCTCCTTCATTGTCTTCATCACCTTTGAATGTGGCGGGCAAGATACTGAAATCGGTGGCCTTGTGAGTTGAGTGTGATGTTTCTGTTGCCGATGTTTTGTTCGGTCTGTTGGTCTATACTATGGCACTAGATTCCTGTCTCCTCTGCGGTTTTTTTGATCTGCTTCACTCCAATAGGACAATCTCGCCTTGGGTTTCACCGCAAGTTTGACGTGTTCAGTAAATGTCAATATCCTCAGTGTCGTCAAATTAATCTCTCTATGCTGGTCCTCTGGACAACTGTTTGTCAAACGGGCCACAGAGCCTAGTTTTGACTAACCCCATTCACGCGTTTCGGCGCCCCCCCCCCAACTAGGAGACTTTTAAAATCTTGCAGAAAATTCAGTGGTCTGTTGCATATGTGTAGTTGTGGAACCCCACATTATGCGCTTTCCCAAGTTAATATGACAGTGTGAATTACTTATGGTAGTTGCGGATAACGCCTTTTTACAGCTTACCATATCAGCTCGGGAATCGTCGGTCCGATTGTATTTCTTCCTTGGCATCAAGCGCTGAGAAATGGTCAGAACTACATCCGGGCGCATCAAGCTTCTGAAACTTTGTGCGAATGAGATTTATGCTTTCGTTTTCTTGTGCCTAGTCCGTTCGTCTTTTGCCGCATACGACTCCGGTTTAAGAGATCTGCTCTACCACACATCAGTACACCAGTGGGTGTTAGGGCAAGCCGAAGTTAATAATTGTGCCGGTTGCGCGAAAAACGGACGAGAATGAAATGTGCAAGCAGGGCAAGCCAACCGAGTATAGCACACGTGGTGTTTGTGAATCGTGGCCTAACCGGTGGCTTCTTGTGTCTTACTATCATGCTCTCTGTTTTCCAACACAGCGACTTACATCCGACTGATTGTTTTAGTTGACTGTCACCTGTTCTATTGATCGCATGCTCACTGGCCCTATCTGTCCCAATTTTGTACCCAGAGAATGTGGTCAATCAGCTGTTATGTTTTTTCAGTTGGTAATACACAACACAATATGTCGTGAATAACCCATACGCTGCTTTCTCACACCCACTGCAGGCATTCAGCATCAGCTATGAATCCCTTCGATTGTATGCCCATGGATGCCTTGGACGTGAACCCTGTCATCACTAAACGAACAGAATCACGAGCATCTCCGGAATATCAGCCTGGCACGCCTCCTTCCAGTGTAGTTACAGGAACGGATGACCGTATCACAAACGCGAAAGACTTTGTCTCTCGTTTTGTATGGGACAATGAGAAAGTGCAAGCACTCATCAAACCCAGACCAATCCCCAAGTCCGTGCTTGATCAGTCGGCTTACAATTTACGTTGACCTGCGCGACTCTTGTTCTATGCGCATATCTGGCTGGTGGTTAGGAAGACCCGCATACCATCTCAGCCGAATCACGTTGTTCATTCATCATGCACACACGTATACACACACACAATTTTTAGGGTTTCTGCATGATATCATCAGCACTTTATTCCTCCCAATCATCATTTCATTTTTAAGATAATTTTGGCAATCATGTGACCTCAACGGAGATTTTTAAATGTGACATGGTTATCTTTCCTTTTTTTTGCACCAGTTAATTGTATGCATATTTGATGATATGATAAAGTTTCATGTTTTTTATAACGTGTCTGTGGTACCAACTATCGGGCGTCTTCGGATGACAGGTTAACCATTCGTGGAATATCCCGATCTGGATGATGCCAAATGACAACTAAACAAACGCTATACACGTGCATCTCAGAGCCGTCTGGTTGTTCGCTGCCGGTGCTGCTTAGTTGTTTGCCTCAGTCATGTGTCCACGTACGACTTATCACCTACTCTCATGAAGGCCTTTCATTGGGCTAAGCAAATCGATCGACAATCTTACAACGCTTTAGGTCTATTCGTGTTTCGTGCGTGTGTATGGTCCCGGATATTACCAATGCTTCCAATCCTAGACACGAGGGTAATCAGGGTTCTTACTAAAAGCCCTGAGCCAAAAAACGTGACCGCAGTTCAGTGGTGAGGCATGACTTTCTAAGCGGTCTAGGTTTTAAGGAACTAGTCCCTACGCAAGTTTCAGCTCGCAGTCTGGAGGGTCGGATGGGTGTTTGCCAGACTTATATCAATGGATGCTGAACGACTGTCCTGCAGTATAGCTCAGTGGATTTCTGAGGTACGTAAGCTGTCGCGTGGTGATAGGGTCCAGTATCTTCGCAACGCCTCAGTTAATGTATGATGAGAAACAGACTGAAAAGCAGTGCGATTCATAAACATTTGATGGCTTCAAATCAGTGTATCAAACCGGAACCAACGTTTGAAATTTTGTATAGAGCATGCCGCAAAAGTAAGAGTGTCGGATGTAGACTGCTCTGCACGTTCGATTCGCTTGTTATTGGTTCAGAGTCTAACGCGAATCAAGCATCCGTTCAGACTGCCAGTTTCGTGGCCGTTATTTGACACTGAGGCAGTTGATGTACATGCATGTTTTGTCTCATTCTTGAAGATAGGTTGGCATACATCTCGTCAGTTCGTTACTTATGATTCCATCTTGTTTTATTTTGTTCAGCACCACTATACTAAGCTTCACGGTCAACGTTTCGCTCTGTTGCGTTATTATTCAATGTTTCAACGTCAATTGTTTTATCTGTCGCAGTTTCTTTCGTTGTGATTTTCAGACTTCCGTTAACTGATCTGAGAGTAGTTTGAGAACCATGATCATTTCTGCTTGGTGTGTGACCGAATGAACTAGCACGAAAAGAATTGAACCATCGAAGCGGAACACAGCGTCGTCTATTGACAAGGCTGTTTTCAAGATCATTTAACAGGTTTTCCACTGGATGGGCGCATAGAAAAGTTTGATGAATTTTTTTCGGATTTTCTTTGCCAATAAAGGAGCAACCGGTCAACTCTAAGCATCCCTAGTTGCCCACTTTTGCAAACACAGAGAGAATTCGGAGAGAACTGTTCCTGGAGAGCATCACTGAGTTGAGTTTGCGTCGGTTGCTCTAGCAGGTCACAGGTGTGATGTCCATCTGAAACCGATCTTGAGTATTAATTTGTTCAGTTAATGCTTCTGTTTACCCTTTCAGTTCAAATATTCCGAATGTGGGTTACATCCCCAAGCTGACGGAAAGACTTTTCCTAATCTCGTTCGATGACTACTCAGTTAAGGTAGTAGTGATTGGGCTGTGGATCTACCAGACAAAGTAATATTAGTCCAGTTTAAATGAACAGCCGGCTGAGTGATATACCCTATGGTGTCCGGTATCCTAGGTCTAAGGTGAGCAGGTCGTTCCTCAATTACGCAGGCGTATTGCAACGTCTTCCACCCGTTGCCTTCGGATCGCTTTCGGCAACCTATACGGAACTCTAAAGACGGTGCGAGAGGTTCCGATAAGTTGTGTAGAATGACCCATTTGTCAAGTCTAAGATCGTGGCACTTTCTGTTAGGATAACGATTCTACTCTCACAACATTATCCTAAGTTGTCTGACCGCCCGTCCAATGTAATCCACTGAGCAGTGACAAGAACAAAATAGTACAATGCCTTAACGCTACACACTACCGAATCGCCATTCTTTGGACTCGTCAGATGGCCACAGTTTTCACCAGAGGTACTTTTCCATTTGAACACAGCACTTTATCCCATCCGAATGAAGGATTCTGCCTAACCGGTGAACCCCAAAAAGGTGAAATCAATGGGTTATGAAGAGTTCTCACCAACGATACGAGTAATGTGTTTTGTGATAGAAGTTTACTTCGATTTCTCGAAGAAGCATGAGGCAGGCTTTGTACAGCACTTTCTTTTAATGAATATCATGATCAAGAGTTTCAGCTGGGACTCCGGTGACTTCCCAGTTGTACCAACTTTATTTGCGAATGGGTGTGTTCTGCCGTGCTTTCGATGTGCATGAACAGTGTCTTTTAGTTGGAAGGCAGACATGACATTGAACAACAGTACCGTATTACTTCTACATTCCTGCGCTCCAGATACCTGCAAACACGATGGTAGGTCAAGTCAGTCGAAAGTTTGTGGACGTGATAAGTTCTCATACTTCCGGGCGTGTGAGCTTAAACGTAGAGGCCTCCAGAAGCTTCGGTAGACATCATGTGTCTAATTTCCTGATGGACGAGATAATTAGGAACGCTGGGTTTTCAAAACCATGGTGTTCAAATAGCTGCTGACGAAGACCTTGTCGATTCGGAATGTGCAGACGACATTGTTCTCGTCTTCGGAGAAGAGAGGGCTTCTGCACGAACGGACCAAAGTCATCCCGTCCTTTGACGTACGCTTTGACCTCAAAAAGTACTATTGGACACGTAGTCACTAAATATGCCACTTACAATTCAGGGAGAGGTACTCCAGACCGTGGAGTGTTTTACGTATCTTAGAAGTTGCATATAATCCGGCACACCGACTAATTTCGCGACTGACGCTATCTGATCCAGTGTGCACATGTCGATCGTTTGATTACTTTTCAGAATTAACGGAAATGATAGAAGGGATTTGCGCCTCTCATGAGTAGGTTTATGGCAGTTGCGACGGAGTCCCATCTTATAAGCCAAGATCCTCGTAACATAAAAAATCGGAGGTTTCCCACCTTACACCACGTTGAAAAGAGCAACACCATAACGCGCTTGGCACTTGAACAAGCCACTGTAACTTATGACGCATGGTGCATTCTTTAACTGTGACGCCCTATGCAGGTAAACAGCGTTTCTCTGGCCCGGGCCAAATCACGGTGGGGGTTCCTCATGTGGGCTGAAATCGGAGCTGCGCAAACTGATATCAGCTCCTATTACTATACGGATTTTGGGCGATCATATCCACTCAGTGTGGAGTACGTCGGAATGGTAAATTTCTGTGCTCAAACACAGGAATATGGTTTACCTGTGAGAACCCGTATATAATCAACCCGATTCTGTTAGATTAACTTGATTCTGTCATTGACTGCTTCAACCTGACACATTTTGCGGTTTAAGCCATCGCCTGTTGGCACCAGCGAGTATTGCTTTGGCCGTGAAAAACGTCGCGTCCCTTCGGCAACTCACCTGTTTCATTGTGATCGCTGCTTAGTTTCACCAAGCTGAGCCAATCTGATGTGGAAGTTATCCCAGTGCAGTGTTTATTGATTAATTTTGGACAATTACCATTCCTTTCAAATGCTTAACTCAGGGTTTGATTTTGCTTTCAGATTTGAGTGTGAAAGATCATAACAAACCTTTGAATACTTATTCCCGCTGTTTCGTGCTTGCACGTTCGAGTCGTGATGTCACGTGATCATCCGTTTGTGTGTGATCCACGTGAGTAGGACTATGGTGCGGCGGAATCTAGAACTGGATTAGGAAGTCTGGAGTGTTGTTTTGAATATATGGACTAGGCACATATGCACCTATTTGGTGTTGCACAGTTATGGTGTCTTCACTACGATGAATCGATAGGAATCCGTAGCAGTATGAAATGAAATGACGTCAGTTCAAGTTATTTAAGGAGCCTGAGACGCGAAGGGTTGGATGGATACCTCTCGATACATCTGAACTAAACATCAAGTCTATCGAGACATCTAAGGTTCTAGTGAGAATAACTCAAAATCTCTGTCGAAATATAATTTGGAAAATGTTGAAACGTCTTACTACCAGTCTTTGCAATGATTTTTTGCGTTGAAGTTGAGTTTCGTTCCTAACTTGCGTCCGGTGCTGAGGCATACATTTTCCAAACCGTCTTTAATATTGTTAAATACTATGCAGGTGGTGAGGCCCAATTTCCCCTTCTGTCAAATAGCAACTTATACAAATCACTACAGAAGGTATTAGGCAACATTATGCATTCCTCACAAGGCACCATGATATCTCTTATCAGGTCGTATGTACCTCGTCACTGCAGTAGGATTTACTTCGTGGTGCAGCAGACTGGTTTATAGATCCCAGTGCATGCCATTTGAACTGCCTCTGTATTGTTACACCTTCGGTACCCCCTTCTCTTACAGCAGAACGCTTTGGATATCACAGTTTCGTTTTTTGTCAGAAAATCTTCCTCACTTTTCTGGAATGGATTATGGTACTTTTATGAACCTTTGTAGCCAATTATTTCTTTTGGATCAGGGTGGGATCTAGGGTAGAGTGTGGGAGACCCAGCGGAATAGTTAGACAACGTTGTCCATTTTAAGTAGCACTCGAAACACGCTAATTTCGCAACTTAAATGCATGCTTCCCCATACTACTGTAATCTGACCTTCTCAAGGTCAGGTGAGCATTGATAAGTAACAATCCCTAAAAACAAAACCACATATCTGGTGCAATCTTTGTGACAAGTTTTCTCCCTAGGAATGAGGCAGTGTTGTAGAAACTTAGTTATCACCATTAACATTACCACCGCCAGAGAGGAAGAGAGAAAGGGAGGAAAATCAGTGTTGACAGTGATGCTCAACTGCCGTGCAACCATAAAGTTCATATAATTATGTTTAAAGCGTCAGAGCGAAAAAAAGAGAAAAGAGTAGGTGAGGGAGGGAACCTAATGTTGACCTACGTCAGGTATTCTGAGGTGTCTACATCCCAAGCGTTCAGTCAGACAACCTGGGTAGAAACTGATAGTACGAACGCCACTAACATCGATCAGCTGCCATTTCTTGTA